AATCATTCAGTAATATTCATTATATTTTGATAAAATTTTCAAAAAATTATTATTTATTAGGTATATTAATTATAAACTATATATTATAATATCCATTTATCAATAGTAGAGGTTTATTTTGTTATAGCCTTAAAGGCAAATAAATGCATTCAAAAAATAAATATTTATTCTGACTAGATTATACTTTTGATAAATAAATTGTTTGAATAAAAAAAAAAACATATTGTTTTCAAACCGTAGACAATTATTTAAAACATAAGTAAAACTACTTACATACTGTAGGTTAACTATGTGTCGATGACTCGATGTTGACTTATAGGTAATGTTGAACAAAACAGCAATATTCACTTACATGAGAGGTACATTTGATATACTTTGGTAATTTGTTATATAAATATTTAAATTTTGAATTAAAATTAAAATTTGTATGGTAATCTGTGCCCTGTAGGTATAGTTATTATAATTTATATTAATTAATATTTAAATTAATTAATTAATTATTAAATCATTATCTATCAGTTATCACTCATCATAATGAATTATCTTATCACAAMAATCAAAACACATAAAACTAAATAAGGGGATTGAATAGGCAACCTACTATAATTTGGACCTCTACAGTGTCCCCTAGAAAATCTACGAGCTTCCCGTATTCTAATCTATAGTATTTGGTAAGGCGCAATTGTACGTAATCACGATATTGAAGGYGCCGTTACGCAATAAATACGACACGTCGAATTCGCCGGTCGTGGTGCGGAATATGGCACGTCGATAATAATTAATAATTGCGGGCAAAGTGACAGCACAAACAAAACGATACAGYACAAGCAGTGGCGCCGAACCCTAAGTTAAGGTCGGGCCATGGCCCGACATAYTTTGAAAATTTAAGATAGGGCCGCTTCATATTGACCATTTTCCTCTCCACGGTATTTTTTCCGATATTAAGATGTTGAGCCTCTTGAAATATTTTTCGCCCTACTAGATTTTTAGGACTTCGGCGCCACTGAGTACAAGTATAACGCCACGAGATGGTCGCGAAAAAAACAGGGCGACAAAAGGAACGGCCGGACACAACGAGACGCACGGTCCGATCAATGGTGAGCGTAGGACTGAYTAAAGTTGACGGCGCGGCGACGACTTTGCCGAGGTCAATGACCGCGCAATGCGCTGTCTCGCGGACCGGTTGCCGCATGGCGTAATAATAGCGGCAAGTTCGAACACTTGTATTGTTTTATGGTTTTGATGATAAGTGGCCATCTGATTACTTTAAAAAATGTTATGAATGTTGCTTGATAAAAATAACTGACCAAGTTTTTGACATGTTATATGAATATAAGTCAGTGGTCCAATATAGACCATTTTTTATTTATTTTTTTTCCAAATGCATTGTAAGGCTTCATAGTTGTAACGCTAAAAATGAAAAATTAGTAGGTTTATTTCAAATTTGTAACATTTGTAACTGTAATAATTGTATATTATATAAAAAATAATTTTATAAAACTTACAAAATATTAAAATATTGAAAACAGAAATAATATAAGTAAATTCTTAAAAATAAAAACTTATAATAAATTCTAAATACAAAATAAAAACTTAAGTACTTTACATATATTATTATTCATACTTTATGTAATGTATATTCAATATTGTCTTAATTTAGATTACGATATTHGTTTTAAGGTTATGATTTTATATACATCATATCATGTAACGGTAAAAATTCGATCACCCATATTATTATTATTTAAGAGGAMGCCACACCCGCATGTGTTGTCTTCGTCGTACAAGTGCGTAGCATAGCAAATTTTACGCTCAGCAGATCACATTTATCTCCGTTATTTTAAAATTTAGAGTGAATTGACCTATTATAAAAATTAAAGGCAAGATTATTACCGAGTGCATCTCATAGGCTTTTTATTATATTTTAATTTTAAGCCGAGTTATGAGTATTTTTAGATATAAAAATTATTTACAATTTTAAAATACTCATTACTCGCTTTAAAATTAAAATATAATAAAAAGCCTATTAGATGCACTCGGTAATAATCTTGCCTTTAATTTTTATAATAGGGCAATTTACTCTAAATTTTAAAATAACGGAGATAAACGTGATCTGCTGAGCGTAAAATTTGATATGCTACGCACTTGTACGACGAAGACAACACATGCGGGTGTGGCGTCCTCTTAACAATAAGCGATAGCGCTCTCCGTCCCGCGGACACATCCGATGCTGAAACCTGAGGATAACAGTTATTTAAATACCAAAAACCGGCGTACACACACTAGCCGTCACTAGGTATTACCGCCACCCAGCACTCATGGTAGGTTCGACCGGCTGACACTGCAGACACTGCATTATCACCGCGCATATTATAGTATTAAAGTATCTATAGTAAGACCACCGGCCGACCACAAAAGTTTTTTACCTCTTACACAATATGGTCACATAATGATTGTGCGTGTATGGCGCGTACAGCCCGAYACAAAAAGTTAAGTATCTTTTTGCCTTTCTGCCGGACAACACCATGATGGTGTAGAGACAAATATCTCACCACGGGCATCTTGATGACGACATTCAAATGGTTTGGTAACGGTAACATAAAACATGTATATATTGTAATATACACTTTGGCCGGTGTTCTATCATTTTAGGTATTATTCACGCCGGTAACCGCTCGTCAGAGCCGCGCTTATATAGCAATTTAAATTATATTATTATTATTGTATGTTTTTTTTCTCATGTCGGTAACTCTTTTTTTTGAGACCAGGGTTTTATGTCACATGACTTTTCTTGGTCATAACTTGATTATTATTATTATGTTTCTTATTTAAATAAAACATTAATATACAATTATCTCACCCCCAAATCTGGTGTGAATTATTATTTTTAACTAGTTACTTATCATTTATAAAAAAATCCCGTATGCTCCGATTTTCGAATCTCGGCTGCGGGTTGGCAACCTTAAAATTAAGTTTCGTCAACGTACGCTCCACGCCGAACCTGGGTAAGCCTTCGTGTGAGACGCTATAATCATCTGTATGTTAAAATGTTGTAATGCGTTTCGGAGTAAGAGGTAATAAAAAAAAACCTTAGCTATATCCGATGTAATGTTTTTTTGTACTAAGCTCTCGGCAAGGGCGGATACAAAGATCCTAAACGGAGGGGGGGCAATCTGGCTATATATATATGAATACATGAATAAAATTAAATAATAGGATTAGTAGACATTAGTTGTATAAAGAAATCAGTCATACTGGTGATTATGATGGGATTTACTGTTTTATAATACACTTACTTTTAATTTTAATTTTTAATTAGGTACCTAATGTACTTACATACATTTAAATATAATATGAAACATTCAGTATATATGAAAAAAGTTTATTTTATACATTTATACAAATGAATAAAAATTTTTAAATTACAAAATCTTTTTTTCTGTTATTTTTTGAAAAAATGTTTATTATTTCATCTATGTCAACATGTTCATCTCGGTGACAATGAATAATCGCCAATCTTGGCAGTCTTTCTTCTAACATATTGCACCGCAGCCAAGTTTTTATCCTTTCAAGGGCGGAAAAACTCCTCTCTGCCGAAGCTATACTAATTGGAAAACTAGCTAAAATCTTTAAAAGTATATGTATTGTTAGGAACATATCTTTATCACAATGTTCTAATGATTTTAGAGGTGTATCAGGAATATCATTTTTTTCTCTATTTCAATATTCTTTCCACCAAATCATTTCCCCTTGCAACTTTCCAATAAAAGCTTCTCTATTTGCAAATCTGCCATTTAATCCATGTATATTTAGAAACTGATTCCAAATAGATTCAAATATTCCAAGATTATACACGCCCAATGTTTCTTCTGTGAATCTGGATTTTATATCAGTTATCATAAAATCTAATAACGGAATGTATACTGTTACACAGAAATAGTCTTCTACATTTGTAATCCCTGGGTTCTGTCTGTGATCCTGTATTGATATTGTTCTTGGCTTTTTTACAGTAATCTCTAATTTATCCATTTGTTCCACAGCTTTGAAGTACAAATCTTGAAACTCTGTTTTGCCGTCTAATCTAAGTTTATTTAAAATTTCAATAGTTTTATTTATGTAGTTAACTGCAGACTGTTTATCAAAATTTTTTTTTTGCAAAATTACGCTTAATGGTTGTGTAATTGAAAATATATGTGAAGCAACATAAAGAGTGATGACGAATTCGCAGTCAATTGAATTCTTTAAAACCTTGGCTTTACTAGATGATTCTCGATCATTCCAATTGCTTATTTTATGAAGAGAATCCATAATTTCCGATATTCCAGTCAAAAATTGCGTCACTGCTGTATGCCTCTCAACCCACCTAGTTTCACAAAGTGACTGTAGTGAGGATTGTAGAACAGATTGCAGTACAAAATTTCGTTTTGAACTTCCTTGAAAAAGGGAAATAATTTCATTAATTTGTCCAAAACTATTCCGGATGGACTGAATTTGTCTTCAAAATTTTTTTTTTTCTGTTACAACATTAAACGTCTATTTTCTTTGGAATATAATATCTCTAAAATATCTTCAGAATTTATATTATTCGATACATCTCTTTCAATATTAATAATAGCTAAAGAGGAAAAACGATAATGATTCATGGTGTTGAGGCCCGAAATGTAAACAGCACGCCGACACCGCCACCGATCCACACACACATACCATACTGATTTATTTTTATTATTGATTATCTTTGTTAATTGTAATGTGAATTATAAAATATAATATTATTATGCAACGATACCATATCGTCTCCGCCGCCGGACAATTTTGCACGGCCGCCGTTTTTCACCAGTCTCGCTCGCACTATCGTTACGCATTAATACATAAAAAATAAAAGGCATCGATACGGCATAAAAATATTTAAATTATGTATAAATGATGGGTATACTATTGGATTTAAAATATATGCTRGTCAAGAAGCTATCCCGGGAGTAGCAATTTCAACGAAAATTGTAATGGAGTTAGCTGCAGATTACTTAGATGAGGGTAGAACCATATTTACAGACAACTGGTACACATCAGTCAGTTTAGCAAATGAACTTTTAAGCCGATCAACAAATCTTGTATGTACATTACGTTCTAACAGGAAGTTAAACCCGAAAGACGTAATAAACGCTAAATTAAAGAAAGGTGAAATAAAATCAAGCCAAAATGAAAATAAWATTGTGATTATRAAGTGGAAGGACAAACGCGATGTACTTATGTTGTCAACAAAACACAAAGACAATTTAATAGAAACAACTAATAAACGTGCTTAAAAATTATTCAAACCAAAAATGGTAATGGATTATAATAAGGCAAAAGGTTTTGTCGATATTTCTGATTTGAGAAATTCTTACCATTCACCACTTCGTCGATCTTTAAAATGGTATCGAAAAATTGCATTYGAAATTCTACTAAATACAAGTTWATTAAATGCATTGACATTATTCAATACTGTGACTGGTAATAAAATGGGTGTGACAGAATTCAKAGAAAATAKAGTTCAAGCTTTACTAATGAAAGCCGACATACCAATGGTACCCAAACCAACTGAAAGAGAAATTCATAAGATTGTTAATTCTAATCGTCGTGGTAGATGTTCAAATTGTTATTTCGAAATGGTTCAACAAGGTGGAAGGGAACATGCACAAAAAATTACACGTAAAGTACTAACGAAGTGTCCAGGCTGTTCTAAACATCTCTGTTTGGATTGTTTTTTCAAATTGCATTCAACAAAAAAAATATAATTTAAAATTATATAGCTATTATATAATAATAATAATATTTATAATATATTTATGTTTGATTTATTGATATTTTAACTAAAAAAGCTTAAAGAGTATAATATGAATACGAGTTGTATAACTTTAAAAAAAATATATTTGTTTGATTTATTAATATTTTAACTAAACAAGCCTTAAGTGTATAATATGAATACAAGTTGCATAACTTTTTTTTAAATATATTTATGTTTGATTTATTAATA